ATCTATCCTAAACCCGTATTTACAATTTGATAGTTTTCAATCTTAATGAAGAAAATTCTATTCTGTTTGCGAAACTTCAAACTAATAAAACGATGTATCCAACACTAGAGTTCGGTTGATGTCTATAATATACGAGTTAAAAGTTTGAAAAAAAAAAAAAAAGATGAGTGTGAGGTGACTAAATCTATGTCCTAAGGATGATTGAGAAAATTAGGGACTAAATGTTTCGGTGATACTATAGATACTAATTGTAACCGAACTTGAGACCAGATAAAACTTGTGTGATGTTTCATGGATAGTGAGAAACTTATATACATATTTCATGTAACCCCATAAAAATCACTATTAAAAGAGGACCAAACCAATTATTCTGTAAAGGCACATGAGACTAGTGTTACAACAAAGAGTAGCATAATACAAAAGGAATTTCAAATACTGAGAGAAACCATTAGGCACAATAAAAAAAATTGAACTCTAAATTAACTCATGAACCTTACTGCCTTGCCTCCTTCTTGCAGTTAGTAGACATCTACTTGTAAGCCATTCCATAGACATGCGGTCTTATTATCCAAGGGAAGCTATAGATTCTCGCCGTGTTGATCTCTGTACCACCATCAAAACCGGCAGCTGAAATGAGTAAGCCGGTCTTTCTTGTCAAATGACATCCGTCTGCAGCTACTCGCTGTAATGGATCCAACACATTCTGAACATGCCTGAAAAAGGATCCATCTGCAACCCCAAAAAACAAAACTATGGATTTCATATTTGTCTTACAGTTTGATTTCAAAGGCTATGATCTAAAATTGTGTATACCTTCCGCAGCAACGTGCTCAATGAATAGGAAAATCCCTCCCGGTTTCAGCACCCGCTTGATCTCTGAAAATAATAGTCAGATAAGGATTATCAAATGAGGTGAGATCTCTTAAGGGTTTATGCAAGATGGCTAGTGAATAATTATAAGTTGAGGAATTACCATTAAGTGTTTGAGTGACATCAGAGACAGAGCATAGAACAAGTGTTGCAACGACTGCATCCACAGAGTTATCATCTAATGGTATAGCTTCTCCGACCTAGCGAGTGACAAGATCAATACAGAACTAACATCAGTGGAATATATATAAAAGGAGAGGACTCAAAATCAAACAGATATTTACCAAGCTGACTTACTCCTTGCATGAATCTAAACTTTTCAGGTTTCAGACCAGCTTCTTTAGCAGATTCACATGCATACTTTTCCATTTTTTGATTCGGGTCCATACCGTAAACAAATATATTTTCATTACGGGCATAATACTTCAGATTAGGACCTGTACCGACCCCAATCTCCAGCACTTTTTCTGTTTTACCATTCAGATTATCGAAAAGTTTCTTCTTGTAACATGCAATCTTATCAAATAACACAAACATAAACACGAAGCTGGGATTGTGAGAAGGCTTGACTGAAATTTCAAGAAATAGATCAAAGAATGATGCATCCAAAGTAAAAAAGACTGACCTCTGCTTCATAAGACCGCATTAATGTGCTCAAGGACCAAGCAAAAAGCGCCTTATACCAATCTGACCTATGAGGATATGAGGTTTCAGAAACATCCTAGTACAGATAAATCTCAGTCAATTACATTTCATCCAAATGTATATATAAGAGTGTCTTATTCATTCAGAGCACCAAACTTGGTATTTGGAGACAACCCATTAAAAAAAGCCACAATCTTTGTGCCATAAAGAAAGGCACAATCTCTACTTGCATGTGTTAGTGCCTATATACACAAAAAGCATCTAGGAGAAATCAAAAATCACCTTGGATCGAGCTGCTTCAAGAACATGTTTTTTACCACATGAACATAATAAGCTTGTGGAGGAAGAGCCTGAAGGACCAAGATCTCGTGAAGCTCTAATTGCTCTGCGAGTTGAGTATGTGAGTGACGAGATCAGTGAGAAAGACCATGAACGCACTTGACTCAACATAATAGCGACAACGGTCTTCCAGTCGCTATTATAACGGACTTCAGATTTCCAGAGAATCTCAGGACGTTGAATCTGACCAGCACTTTTTTTTTGGTGAATATCTGACCAGCACTTTAAAGTATAGTAGTAGTAGTTTCTAGCCATTCGTAGGTGATTAAAGAGATTATTTCTTTATATTTTTCCATTTTTAAAAATTTTAAGGGCTTTTTTTAATGAATAACCAAAAAAAAATATTTAAAAAGTTGGTAAAAAAGGGGTTTGGATTTAGGTTTTTTGTTTAGTTTGTAAATTATAATTTTTTTGTTGTATTAATGGCAAATTATCCCAATTTTTAATTATTTTCTTCTTTTTTTCGGTTTTGGTTTTTTTCTTAGAATCTTGTTTTTCTATTTAAACACTTTTATCTTGTAGTCACTAAACATATTATATTATTTTTAATTAAAATTTCGAGAGTTTTTTTTTTGTGAATTCCAAATTTTTTTCTAATCGATTCCAATGTTTTATCCTTTAAATTCTTCGTTTGCAAACTAGAGTTTCATATATATATAGTGCTTGCTAATCTTTGCATTTTTCGAGTGCGTTAATCATCATCATACCTTGGATAAGTTTAAGAGACTTTCATATTGTTGTTTTTTTAATTGTAAGCAACCCCATAGACATGAGAACTTATGTAAGCGAAGTTAGAAAGAGGGCCTTTTTTAATATATGCACCGCCATTGAACCTAGCTTCCGAAATGTATCGCCCAGTGTGCCTCGTCAGGTGACATCAGTCGGCAACAACTTGTTGCAATGGATCCAACACGTTCTGTACCAACCTCTGAAACGATCCATCTGTAAAGCCATAAACAAAACTTTGAATTTTTTTTGTTTTGATAAACCGTGAGAGTTCCGAACCTTTGGTTCATAATTTTTTCGGTATCTAGAATTAGTTTTTGGATATTCCAATTTAAAGAATAACTCTTCGTCCCAAAAAAAGTCCCAAAACTCTACATTTAGTTTCATTATTTCTACAAATGAGATACACATGGGAAAAAACAAAAAAAACTTTTATCATTTATGCAATAGTCCTTACCCATACGATCAGTTTACATTCTGTTGGATATTACATGTTTCTAACCTTTTCTTCTTACTTCCTTTGTTGCCAGCCCAACATCATATCTTTAGAGAAGGAACACTTTTTTGTTCCTTATCTTAATGGATAATAACCCTTAATCTCTTTGATTTTCAATTGGCAAAAAGTTTTTGAAAGTTTTGCGTGTGGGTCTCTAATGTATTATATATTTCGGGGTACATGTTATGTTATATATATTCTGGAGAACCAAACACTAATCATCAAAGAACTTACAAACCAAACATTTTGACCGTCTCGCGTTTTGTTTTTATGGAGTCTAGGTTTAAATCTTAATGAAACCTGGGTTTAAATTTTTGCGTCTAGGTTTCGTTTCTACTCCGATTTCGAAATTCTTCAAACTTATAAAACACTAAAAGGGATATATAGGATGTGGAATTTTAGTGGATTTGGTGGAGTTTCTAAA